CCCCAAAACCCCAAAACCCCAAAACCCCAAAACCCCTATTTTTAATACAAAAACTGACGATTATAATTTAAAATGTGCAATAGGTTATGGATTAGAATGAGAGCACAATATCATCAATTTTAAGAATCATTCTGACACATTCAGTAGCTAAAGTGAAGGCTGAAGTAGATACAAGGGCTGGTTGGACAACTTCGAGTTCGAGCATATCTGAGATCTTGTTTTTCTTTACATTAACACCAGAGTTAGTTTTTCCTTTGGTATGAGAATTTCTCAATTCTGTGACGAATTTGACTGGATCTAATCCTGCATTCTCGGCAAGAGTATATGGGACGATTTCTAAGGCTTCTGAGAAAGCTTTTACACAGTAAGAATCAATTCCGAAAATTTTTCTGGAGTATAAGTTCAGCTTCTGAGATACTTCCATCTCTACAGCAGCACCTCCAGGAACAAGAGCCCTCTTTTTGACTAAACTTCTGACAACACAGAGAGCATCATGGAGAGATCTCTCAGCTTCGTCAACAATAAGTTGGTTAGATCCTCTCACTAAAACTGAGACAGTCTTTCTTCCCTCAGCTTGAGGTGGGCATCCAGTTATTCTCACAGATCTGCATGACCTGTCATCAACAACAAGCTCAGCACTTCCCAATTTCTCTTCAGTGAATTGCTCAATAGAGGCAACTGGGGTAAGCCCTGTTGTTCTAGAGATGAAATCAACAGTGTCTCTCTCAACATCCTTGACAACCAAGATATTCTTCTTGGATAAAAAGTGGAGAGCTAAGTCATTTACAGCATCTCTCATAATAGATTTTTGGATAAGAAGGACATTACAACCAGTCTTGACAATAGCCTTGATCATTCTGATAATATATTTCTTCTCTTCCTTAAGGATTCTATCCATTGCAGTATATTCATGAACAACAACGCTGCTTTCCATATCAGTCTTTGGAGCTGAGAGTTGGAATTGAATGAGTCCAATCTTGGCATTCTCCATTTTAGTTGGACCTCCAGCAGTTGTGCAGGCTTTCTTGTCAACTAGGACACATCCATCAACCATTTGAGTATCATCAACAGTACCGCCAACTACTTTGCCAACGAAGATATCTCTCAAATCAGCATTGGTGTCATTCTCCTTATCAATGATTTTCATGACACAATCGACAGCAAGTGGGGCAAGAATATCAGCATTCTGGGAGACGACCTTGGACGATAAGGAAGTAGTAGCATTTTGGATCAAACTATCTCTATCATTCAAGTCAACTGGAATGCTCATTTCATCTATTACTTCCAGAGCTTTATCCAAAGCAACTTGTAAACCTTGTGAGATTGAAGAAGCATGAATTCCCTTATCCAACAAGTTCTGGCATGCTTTCAAGAGAGCTCCTGCGATTACAACAACACTGGTGGTTCCATCTCCTGCTTCAATATCTTGGGACTTAGAAATCTCAACCAGCTACAGGATTATTTGAGAGAAAATACCATTCTTGCTGTTGGGTGAACAACCTCCATTTGCTTCAAAATTGTGGCACCGTCATTAGTAATCAAAACCTTCTTGTTCGAGTCTTGGATCTAGAACAAATATGATTAACAGCTGTCACATTTAGGCAAAACAACGGTTCAAAGATTAGAATTGGTAAATATACTTTGAAAACTATTCAAGTGTAAACTCTATTGCTCAAGCTTCTCCAGATTTAGATTCAAAAGCAGAAAAGATATATACGCGACTTACCATTTTATCCATCCCTCTTGGTCCTAGAGAGGTTCTAACAACATCAGATACAGCTTTGGCTGCAATAATATTATTCATTCTGGTATCACGCTGCTTCTCAGATCCGGTCATCTGTGAACCACTTTTGCTTACAGTTGATGGGGAAGAACCTTTGGCTCCTTTGGACATATTTAATATTTATGATTTCAAATTATCTTCATTTATTAGGGGTTTTGGGGTTTTGGGGTTTTGGGGTTTTGGGGTTTTGGGG